ATACACTTCTCGCTAGAAATCTAATCAAAAAGCGTTTTAATGGCCAAACTAACATACAATTTAGGATTTTACAGAGTGTTATTTGTGAATAAACGACCCTCTGTAACGTTTGCATTCAACGGGAGCACTAGAGGGCGAAAACTTTAAAACGTAATTATAGGACGTATTAAGCGCCTGAACAAACGACATATTTGGTCGTAATAAAGGCCTGAACAATCGGCCCATTTGGTCGTATGAGTTGGAGGACTTGTTGGTCCAGATGTACGGGATGTTGCATCTGTTCCCCCCCCCCCCATTTAGACTGCGAAGAAAACCCGTCCTGATGCTACTCCAGTGGGAGAGATGTCACTGTTGTTGATGTTCTGTTTTCAAAGTTTAGCTGAGATAGTGAAGTTTCAGCAGCGAGAGTAAGTCACTTTCAAAAGTTCACGATATGTTTGATACAAAGTTAACTATTTCCCTTGCTGAGCTCCAGTGCAGTGATAGCAGTTAGGGGTCATCGGAGTTCACAAAGATCATGAGTCTGCATCAAATGTCATGGCAGCATTTCACTGGGAACCACAGATGGGAACCTGCTGGTGGCGCTGGAAGAAAAGGTTGGGTCCTACCAATATGTTTAGGGTTCATCCACCAAGGACCATAAACTAAAATAACAAGATGTCACGGCCCTGCGTTGATGAGATATCTCAATTTGGACCAGACTGGTGGACCAACCAAAAGATTATTTTGCCAAAATTCACTCAAACCATTCGCACTACAATGACGTTAATATCCCAGACATTTCTCAACAACGTTTGAATGGATTGCAATGTCATTTGGTCAACATTTCTGTTTGTCCTTTCGGCTATTTTGTCAATGTAAGCGTTATAACATTATACCTGCTGCTAGCATATAGTCACTTTGACTACAATAGCATGACATTAGCACTTTGTTAGACTCCTAACAATGTTGTGTTTCCATTCAGATCAATACAAACCCTCTCTTGGTAAAGCAATAAAGATGTTTAAAAGGTTGTTGCTGTTGTAAAATAATTGGTTATACCCCTAAAGTGTGCCTGTTAGTGCCGAAATATCGGAGAAGAGAACATGGGACTTTGCTCATTAAAGTGCAAAAATAAACATTTCCAGACAAAGCACACCTTGGCATCTGAGAAAAGTGATATAAGGATTTCTCAGTATTATAAATATATAAACATCCTCTTTAACAGAGTATCATAAAGAGTTTTACAGAGATAACACAACTCTAAACAGCCTCTCATTGGTGGCACTCAGCAGAGGCTTTTAGGTCGATACTTCAGGACAACTCTCTTATTGATCTGGCAGCAGGTGTCCAAAGTTGTGTTTTTAAAGGATACAACAGTAAATATGACAAAGGCTAAATGATTTTCTGCTTGGCTATACTCCGAACAAAAGGGTATCCACAGATGCTGTACGGTGCACTATAGAGTCGACCCTGCACTTTGCATCCTCTCAGAAACTTTCTCAAACATGAATCACTTTTCTGGGATGTTTGTGGCACAATGTTGTATTATACCTTTGGCATCCATCATTAGAATGATTCTGGCTTACATTGCAGTATGAAAGGGGTCAACATGTCACAGATCAGTGAAGGTAACATGAATCACAAAATATGTTTCCCGTATCTCAGCTTTTTGTAATTAACTTCTGCATAAAGATATAATATGAAAAGTATAGACAAGCTTTGAAATCAGGCTGTTTGACCTTCTGCTTTCTAAAAGTGTTGTTGAAAACACACACATTACGACACTGCACTGATTCGATGTGAGTGCTTAGGTGTGTGTCAGGGTCCTGAGGCTCACACACAGCTGCATAATTATTAAATCAGACTGTCAATACATGTGTTGCTGCATTCAGACAGGAACTTGTGTAAATCAGACAAGGTCTCTGATTGAAGAACACAATGAAGCTGTGAAGGCCAAACGCGTCTGTATGGAGACGACATGCAGAGATACAGTATGAGATTTGTTTCATCGTGACATTTTTAAATCACATCTATTTGATTTTCAAGATTGGTAGAAAAAAAACAACCACACAAACACAGGACCTCTCCAGACTCTTAAATTAACCATGGTTTGTCTTTCACTCAAGCAGCTGTTTTTAAGAAGACGAAAACAAAAAGAAAAACACACCAGCTGCACATTAATAACCAAAAGAAGGCGGGTGTTAATTAAAGGTTGACCAAGATTAATTATGAAATGCAAATGTAATTTAACTTAAGACAGCAAGGTGCACACAGGTTTGGGTCCTTCTAAGGCAAGACATGTAAATGTCAAACTATTAATGAAGCGACCATCAATTTTCTGTGAAGTCAGGTAAAGAGTTGGGGTCACGTCCTGAAACTAAGGTCTTGTTATAAAAAACCAAAACAATCTAGTTGGCAGTCTGTACTTTATAGTTATCCGTTTCCTATTTACCTCTGGCTAAACTAATGCAATCTGATGTGGGGCATCAATGGTACAACATTGGATTTTGTTAATGCTGTTTAAGAGAGTTTTATTTGACTCTTTTTCTCATTTGTAGTCAGAATATCAGGAAAAGGGCGGTGGGGCTCTCAAACTAAAAAGTAAAAAAGATCAGGCAAGCTATCGAAACTAAAGCTGGTAAATGATGTGGGCACCAGAATAAAATCACACCTACAAATAATAAGAAAAGTACCTCAGTTATTAGTTCAGCGTGAGTGAAGAACTGAGATTGTTGCTCTCAAACTGACTTATCATCATTATTCAGTTTGAGAGCACAATCTCAGTTTTTCACTGATTTCACAATACCAAGTGAAAAACAAAACTTACCAAAAGTGTAATGTTAAATACTTTTATTCTATTTGTGCATAATGGATGGAATATGTGCCACCCAGATAATTACAGAAGGCCAAAATCAGTCAGTAATATCACAGCACTAATGTTTCTGCTGCATGGTTAAAGCAACACAGGACAAATATTAGGGTCACAAGCTGAAAAGTAAAAAAATTATAAATATTCTCTACTGATACTTGCAGATACATACTTAACAACAACAGTCAGTGATACATTGGCAACACATAAGTCTTAGCTTTTGGACCTTACAGGACATCTGGTGAAATACAAATACAAGTTTTTCTTTTTGGTTTTATTTTTAATTGCAAGAATACATTTAGATTTGCAGCGTGTTAAAGAGCAGCCAGGGGCCACTAAACACACACTTCTTATTTCACACACTAACTGCCCAAGTTATTATAGCTTGATCTACATTTAGGGCCAACTTAATGAAAGGGCTATCTCTTATAGAAGAGATTTGGACAATTAGATAATATAATATAACAATATATATGGTATAATGTAAAGTACATATTCTAGTTAATGTGCAACTTTTGGAAATGCATGATGTATTTTAGCTACTGGAGGACATTCCAAATGTGAGTGATATTTGTATTTTAATTATGCAATATGAATGGCATCTTGCACAGACAGAAGACTTCATTAATCTATACTTACGTAAAAGGCAGTGCCTCTATTTCAGGTGTCAAGCAGGAATATTGACATAATCATTGAATAATTGATCACAAACTGTTTATCTTAGCTGTGGTAACGCATAAGGAAACGGATACCATATTACAAATATAGTTTAATATTGGATTCAATAACATTTTTCTTTTTTTTCTACCACAGCTAGAAGAGGACGCTATGAGAGGTTTTCCTCCAACATCGTAAGCTACTTTGGCCTTTCAATCTGCAATAAGGAGTTGACCACCAGATGTGTGATCTGTCCAAAATTAAATCTTTCAGACTGTACTGACCACCCCGTAGCATTATTACTGTCATGCTACATAGTTTAGTGGTTAGTCATTCACGACATTTCTGTACTGGGTCTTTTTCAAATGATACTTAATGTGCAAAGATGGACGTCGATTACACTGCAATTTCAACACTCCTGCTAACGTGAAATGTTGAACCTTTACAATGTTTCTTCAAAGAGTCAATGTTCAGTCTTGATATTAAAAATAGTAGTCCAACAAGAAATACTTCTACTTACTAAAACCATCAACAGAAGCACATAATAACTGGTGCCTTAAGCCTTGTCTGATAAACATAATGTCATTATATCCTGTCACTGTGGGATATGTTTTACAGTTCCTTTATGGAAGAAATCACATTTAATTGCACTTGAACCTATAACATTTCAACAGTTTAATCATTAAAACCATTTTTTGAGTCATTAACCCATTATGCTTAAAGGTGGGGTAGGTAGTTTGAGAAACCGGCTCGAGATACCGTTTTTGTTATATTCCATGGAATGCTAACATCCGATAGTAATGAATATCATAAGTTGCTTTGACAAAAATCCATAAAAAAACGTCATTCTGTGGAAGCCGTAATACTGTAAAAGCACGACCAATCATTGTAGCAGGCCCGGCTAAAGTAACTGGATGGCCTACCTGCCTGTCAGCCTTCCAGTCTGTGCACAAACTTATTCTCGTGCCCTCATTGGTCATGTGCGCGTTCGTGGTGTGTGGAGAAGGGGCTCTGTAAGAAGTGGCAGAAGATTTTCTCCGGTTTGATATTTTCAAATTCAAGCGCACTCGAGCTGGTTTCGCCAAATTGCCTACCCCACCTTTAAGTCACTAAAGAAACACAAGGTATATTTCACCTTTTGGGTCCTCCGTGGTCTTTGGTGTTAAGTGCATCCATTAACATTTCCCTCGATAGTATATCAACTAATCTCATTTGGCAATTCAGTAAAATAGCATACTTTCTGTTCAGCACGTGACATATGTTGCTAAAGAAAGGGATTTACTGGTTAGAAAGCGGGATGAAACAATCATTTAATGAACCAAAGGTGTTGTACAGCAAGGAGACGAAGAGATATGGTGTCCGTTACATTTTCTGCTTTTGTGTATAGTTTATTTTATTCTTAATGGATTCTAATAATATAAAAGCTAATGAATGAACGTGGAGAACTGCTTCAGCACAATTCACTCTCAAGTAGTTTTTTTTTCTGGTTTGTTCAGTGGTCATTCAATGTCAGGCTCGTTTGTGCAAACGGAGATAAAAAACATCAAAAATGGTCTAATCAGAGAGAGTCTGGATCCTGTTAATAAATGAGAACAATTAGTTGTTTGGTTAGTAAGCCTGAAAACCAATTAAAGATGGATGTTAACATTTCATTGCATTCCAACACCTCAGAGCTGCTAAAATCTCATTGATTGTGCCGGTTTGTTGTGCACTTAACCCCCCTTTTAGGACAGAGACAGAGCTTTGTGTCCACGTAATGCTCCGACCTTACAAGATTAGGGAATATACTGGATACCAACGTTCTAGTGGAAGCATTAAAACAGGTTACGTTTTGCTATTTTAGTGACAACCTACGTTTTCTGAGGTAATAAATGACACCAGTGGGAAGCCAGGCACACACACGGGCCGTTACTCACAGGCAGAAACCTTAACATTCACAAGAGGGGCTCAACAGTAAAGCACGAGAGGGTCATTTGAGATACCACCCCAGAATCAGGGCATTACTCTGCCGGCCTATTGCAGTCTCATGCATTTGAAGGTTGTCGCTGATCCTTTAAATCTAACCGTTTTTCTCCATCCATCAGACTGTCTTACCCGCAAAAAAAGGTGGGGGCAAAGCTGCAGATGCTGCACATTTTAAAATGCAGAGATAAAAGGTCAAAGAAGCTCCTCGTTGTCCCAGCCGCATGAGTTGCTGTTAAATAGAGAATTACTCACAGAAAGTTTGTAACATCTAGTCATTTTTTAGTCCATGAGTACAGTCCATTTGAAGCCTTCTGTGAGTGTTGAAGGTTTGGGATTCAGACGCCCTGGTGCATTGTGGGGGGACAGCAGGAGGACGTCAGAGACCCTGCTGAGCTCGCCTCTCCTCCAGACAGCGACACACCCACATCGACACCACCCTCCGCATTACCGTCGTTAAACTGTGTGATGAAGGAATGCTCCTGAAAAGTAAAGAGAGGGACAAAAGTGGTAAAATCACTTTTTTTAAGAAAACAACAGACACTGAAAGTTTGGGTTAGTTTTTATTTTATAATTAAGAAAAACACATTTCCGGAATTAATTAGTGCATTTAAAGGTTTTATTTGGGAACAGAGAACAATAACTGTCAGAAGGAATTCAAAAGGCAGAGTTTATGACCATTTTGATATTAAATGAAATGGCATGTAATGACATCTGCTATTAAGTTTTATTATTAAGTTATGGGTTTTTTCACACTGAAATTCCTGAACGAATCAAGACAATTCCTTTTTATATTATTTAGCCTTCACTGCAATTAGTTTTAGAAATTATAACTAAAAAACAATACTAGCCATTTTCACCCTTACTCTTTGGATTCACAAAATGTGCTCATCCTTGAACTTATCTATTGTAACAAATGTTAATCTTTTAATGCAATGAAATAATGAATATATGAATTAACATCTTCTGCCACTAATCTCAGACCTTACGTATGACCTTTAGAATAATTGCCAAAAAACGGACTGAAGCGGCCATAACAACACAAGTAATGAGCTTTCCATAAAAACAGCTATCAAAAGTTTATTCTGCAATATAATTTTATATTATCAAACAGATTGGAGCCACAAACATTATCACACCTTTATGTGAAGGGTTTGGTTAAGTTCTACTTAGTATAATTATTCTAAATCATGATTCTAATAAAATACAAATAAACTAAACAGGAACACCATTTAACCCTCTTAAATATTCATGTGCAACAGATTTGCTTTTAAATGCTGAACGTTTAAGTAATGGCTTGTCAGGGCATTTTAAAGACATATCTGTGCAGTTTAATGATCGACATGAGTCATAACAGGTTGTAAAATTAAGCTTTGTAATAAAACAGGCTGTGACAAAAAACCTCGATGTTGACTATTTAAAAATGCCTTTGAACATGATCTTAATTCTTCCTCCTACAGTCTTCATTTGGACTGATTTCCACCACCAGTGCCAATAAACGAGCTCTCGACAGAACACGTTCTCTGTGGATCGGTAGCTCATCAAGTTTGTTAAAGGCTGGCAGAGTTACTTGTTACTGCTGCACTGAGGTGTCACTCGTGATATCTCAATGACAACAGTCCCAATCCCAGCCTCATCTGGGGGGGGCAGAGGTCACACAGGGGTCAGAGGTGAGGAGGTTTTAAATGGAACACTTCAACTGAGGCTGACCATGAATTTGATTTGTACTGTCTAGATGTCCAATTAAATAAACAACGCTGTGGCCGGCCAGTTCAAATGAACATGTCAACACTGATTTCAGCGATATGTGTCCTCAAACAACAAGAGACTGTCACCGTTAATAAGAGTTCAGCTCCAACTTAAACTGGCCAGACACCGTGTATTGTATTTATTAATGTTGTACGTTATGGTAACTCACACTACTGATATTAATCTGCCTCTCTGCATAGCCACAACCTGCAGCTCTTGTGTTCAACTGTACGGATTCATTGGCTGTGCTGCTAATATGTTACCGTCAAACTTTAACAATCTGTATCGGCTGTGCTATAGTCCCAAAATGTTCGAAAATGGAACAAAGTAGCGAATGGAAGATTAAATAACTAAATATCTAATGCAGCCATAAGCTCCTTTGATTAACACCAAAAAAGACACGGAAACCGTATTTCTTTGTCAGCCTAAACATTCACCACAATTATTGTGTGCTTTGCAAGGCTGTGAATCCTTGGTAAAAAATAGTGTCTTTATAACATTGTTATATCGTCTGTTCCAAAATCTAGATAGGTTTCAAATATGAACTTTTAACGTGAAAGTAACACTACAAAACACATATTTTAAATCAGGTCAAATATGATGTTGCTTTATAAACATTAGTCTGTTTCTTTTGTGACTAATGAAGTTAGGCTTTAACGTTAGTTATAACGGATCTCAAGTTAATTACAAAGAACAAAAAACTATAAATAATTCCTTAGTTTTGCTTACTACAAACAAAAGTCCAAGTTCGATATAAAGTAATATTTTAACAAATGCAAATGATATTCTGTCATGTTTCTTAACACATAGCTCTTCCAAAAACATCATCCCACTGCAACAGTGATATCACTAGTTTAACTCAGATTTCAAAGTGAGAAGTGTTGATGTCAGCTGTTTCTTCAACATTAAACACCCCCCCCAGCTACATTCAAACTGGTGCGGACGAGATTAGAAGTAGGACAGGCGGATAGTGACGGTTCTCCTGGGATTCATTTAGTCTATTTGCAGTCACAGTGGAACATTTGTTACATTTGTTTTGTACATTATATCAAAAATAAAGTCACATGAAGGTTGAATACAGTGAATACATCTGTAAGTTACTGTAGGGTCAAGATTCCTTTATAAGATCCACTAAAGAGAGAGAATGTAAAGAGATTGTAAAGGACTGGGGGAGCACCATCAATCCTGTTGTCCTTCTAATGGGCAGCTGGGGTTAACACAGTCTGAGGTTAATTACTCTCATATCAGTGTGTGTGTGTGTGTGTGTGTGTGTGTGTGTGTGTGTGTGTGTGTGTGTGTGTGTGTGTGTGTGTGTGTGTGTGTGTGTGTCACTATGAGACGGGTGTAGTGGACGCTCCTGGGTGCCCCTATGCTGAATACCCATCTCATCAATCATTCTTTCTTGCCTCAGTAGAGAGGGAGTGATACAGAAATAAAGAGGGAACTCAAGAGTGATGCTTTTTAAAATCCTGCTCTCCACCTCTGCTCCAGAAATTAACTCCGACAGGCCACAGACATCTGCTGGAATCTGACCTGGATGAAGGTGTAAGGCCTGTCATACACACTCACATACAGAGTACACGTAGACATGATGAGACACGCATCACTCACTCAAAACACTATAGAACTAACTGGTCTGAAGCTGTTGTTCGTGACTGCTTTTTTCTCTCACTTAATGTTTCCCCTGGACAACACACAGATAAGTTACCTGCCACAGATAAATAGAGAGAGTGAGAAAAGGTGACCACTAGGGAAAGCATACAAAAAAGATGGCAGGCAAGAAAGGAAGTCAAAGTAAACATATTAGATGGTGTGATTAGATGGAAAGCCAATAAATGATCCTTGAGTTGAAACTGTTTCTTTAAAACTATGTTTCAAAATTCAAGTATCAATCTAAACTTTTAACCCACATCCTCAAAGTGTTCTACAATTCAATCTGCTTTAAATGAAGAGATACCATGTAAACCTCCAGAACAGCTTTCAAATGGACCTCATCGAGTCAGAGTTCAACTTAATTGTCCTTTCCTCTTATGTAATTGTAGTTACAAACTAAATAAAAATAGCAACGCTCAGATTTGATGTACCATACACTGCTTTAATTGTCCACAACGGCAAATATCAACCCTGCAGGTTTATCTTGCGGCCCCTCCACCCAACATACAACACCCCGGTTTGAAAAGATGCTTCTAGTCTTTTATCTGCAGACAATTGTATTGAATGAAAACTGCCTCAAGTCTTGCTTTGATGCTGACACATGCAGGTGAACAGACACCCAGATATATTGATTAAATAGGGGATACATGTGTTGTCTGTCACACAGGCATACATACCTAATAATTAATACATTCCCTGCAACATCAATTAAGTATGAAACCTGTTAAAGAGTTACAAATCCAACAACTAATCTTTAGTTAGGTCAATGAAGGTGATTGCACCTCCCCCCTTAGCGCTGCATGGACAGAGGTGAGATGGGGGAAGGACTCATTTAGAAGTTACATTAATCACCGTCTGGCCATCAAAATGGGATAATCACCTGCAACGGCTCTGCTCAAATAGAAATGGCCTAAACCCAGGGGAAATTCTACCGAACTCTTTAATTGTTTGAAGCCTTTCAAGGGTCTGTTTAATCTAAGATTAATTTATTCACTTTTAAATAACTCTATGTATGATTAATACGCTCAAACGAAATTAAAAGGAGTTTGAGGCAATTATAACATAGGACTGGTCATCACCTCATTAGAACAGCGTTGCCGTGTTTGTCAGTGTGTAGGTGTGTGTTTGTCAGTGTGTAGGTGTGTGTGTGAGTGTGTGTGTGTGTGTGTGTGTGAGTATCTGTGTGAGGGACAGAGAGAATCTGAAGAGGTAGATGGAATAACTAGGCCTTTACAGATTTGCATGCTAATCACTCGCTCCCTCTGGAAACTGGTTGGCATCGGTTGGTGTTAGTGTTGGTGTGTGTGTGTGTGTGTGTGTGTCCACGACAGAACAGTGTGTGTGTGTACTTTGGTCAATCATAGTGCACAAGAAATGTAGGGATACTTCTCTGAGGAGAGTTACAATGCTCTAAACTTAATGATCCGGGAATCTAATGCTACTTTCAAATCTGCTGCTTTCAAAACTGTTTGCATAGTGAGGCGGCACTTTCTCCAGATAGCCGCCAATCAATGAGCCACAACACTAAATGTTATCCAGCGAAATGGAAAGAAAAAGGGAAAGAGAGAGTAAAAGATGAATGCAGGGAGAGGAGGGAGAGCACCATCATTATCATGGCCTTTTAGGTCCCCAACCACCTGTGCAAAACAAGTGTCCAACGCAGCAGAGCACAGGGCTCATACTGTACTAAAAAGTACAGCTTAACATCAATATACTTGTGTACTTTGGACTCTCATTTTAAGTGATGTGTTTAGAAATATGTGCAGCGCAGCAGTCCCAGTCTGTGTGAATGGGTTTAGGTCAAAGAAGACCCATGGGTGAAATGTGAAAACATTTGGCAGCAAAGGTGCTGACAGAAAAGTTTAGGGAGGAGGAGGCACCAGTGATTTGGTACAACACTGAAAAGAGGCAAAACGATACACAAGCATGCGAAAACCTTTTTGCACATTCTGCCTTTACTCAGACAATGAGCAACCGCATCAACAGTTTGAGACACATGCAAGACATCGGCATTAATAAAGCCTTTCTAAAAAAAATACACATATAAATGATAAAATGTGTAACAAAGTCTGTATCTGTG